TGGTTTAATGATAATAATAGTCCTTGCATTTGATATCAGCGCCTCATCACGTCACCGAGACGTCTCAAAGCGCTCCACGGGATACACTGCGAATGTGTAGTGACTGTGTGTTTTTTCGAGCGAAACGCAGCAGCCAACTGCGCACTGCAGTGTCCCCACAAACAGACGTGGATTGAAGTGACAGATTTTATTTGAGGGACTGTTGGCCAGAACATCAGGGAAGAGAGACACTCCCTTCTCTTTTTGAATAGCGCCGTAGGATCTTTAGCATCCACTCAAATAGACTGGTCAGCACATACCCCCGCCACCCCTCACCCACCACCCCTCACCCGCCACCCCTCACCCGCCACCCCTCACCCACCACCCCTCACCGCCACCCCTCACCCCTCACCCACCACCCCTCACCCACCACCCCTCACCGCCACCCCTCACCCGCCACCCCTCACCCTCACCCCCACCCTCACCCCCACCCCTCACCCACCACCCCTCACCCGCCACCCCTCACCCACCACCCCTCACCCCCCCCTCACCCGCCACCCCTCACCCACCACCCCTCACCCGCCACCCCTCACCCCCACCCCTCACCCCCACCCCTCACCCGCCACCCCTCACCCGCCACCCCTCACCCGCCACCCCTCACCCGCCACCCCTCACCCGCCACCCCTCACCCGCCACCCCTCACCCACCACCCTCACCCGCCACCCCTCACCCGCCACCCCTCACCCGCCACCCCTCACCCGCCACCCCTCACCCCTCACCCACCACCCCACCCGCCACCCCTCACCGCCATCCCATTTCCCCCCTCCCCCCACATACACAACATCAACAACAACAAATTACACACAAGGTGCTGCATAGTCAGGGATTTGGACACGAGCTGGGGGTCGAAATCAGGAGGGGTGGAGGGCAGGGAACACACACACACACGTGCGCACACACACACCCACACACACACACCCACACACACACGCAGGACTGTGACCTGTTTTCCGCATTCCAAGCACTGTTAAAAGCCAACAAAATTCACAATACACAGTAACTAACCCTTCTTATTTGATGGGGGCACTTATCGGGTCAAAATGCCGAGGAGGGCTGCACACAATGAAGTGTAGTGACTCTCGCCCACATGTATGCAGACACCTGGCAACGGCAGACTCGGGTCCACCTAATAATGTTAATTATTATCAGCAATAATAACACTTGCATCGATAGTTCACTGTATGGTTCAAGTTCTGTACGAGGCAATGCCTTTAGCAACTCGGCTACTGGAGGAATCCACAGGAGAGTCTGCAATTGCAGTGTTTTGAAAGGAAATCGGGTTCAGTAACAAAAACTTGCAATTTATACAGCGACTTTCCTGCGAAAACAAACATCTCCAAAGTGCTCTCTCGAAATATAACTGATTGGAAACGAAAATGAACGGCTTCCTGGAGGCAAACACATCCAACAGTTACAATAATAATAATAATTCTTGCATTCACTATAGCGTCTTATTGTGTCGTCGAGACGTCTCAACACTCACAGGATATACTGTAAAGTGGATTGACTGTGTGTTTGTGGGCGAAATGCGGCAGACAGTTTGCGCCCAGGAACGTCCCACAAACAGCAGTGAAGCGAGTGACCAATTTGTTTTATCTGGGGGGATTGTTGGCCAAGACATCGTATAGTGTCGTGGGATCTTTAGCGTCCACCTGAACAGGCACAGGCGGGACCTCGGTTTAACGTCTCATCCAGAGGACGACGCAACGGGATGAGCAGCCAGATTAATCTGTCGGTCCGGCTTCGTCAATAGCTCTCCGGTTCAGGTTAGGGGTTGTTTTGATGCTCTGCCGAAAGGAGGGAGAGGGGTGCGGGGAGGGGTGTTGGGGTGGGGTGGGGGGGAAATTGGACAGGCTCTAAAACCTTGAGGGAAGCTGGTGGGAAGTCTTTGTTTTCCAGTCAGCTCCTGGCAACAGCCAAGGAGACGCAGGTGTGTGCGTATGTGTGTAAATGTGTGTGTGTTTGGGTATGTGTGTGTTTAAATGTGTTTGGTTATGTGTGTGTGTGTAAATGTGCATGTGTATGTGTGTGTATGTGCATATATGTGTGTGTATGTATGTAAATGTGAATGTGTATATGTGTGTGTGTGTTTGGATATGTGTGTATGTGTAAATGTGCGTGTATACATGTGTGTACGTGTATGTATGTGTGTGTATGCATATATGTACTGTGTGTATGTGCATGTGTACGTACGTGTGCGTGGCACGCGTGTGAGCACTCCGATTCTCCCACCCCCACCCCACGTGCTGACTGCTACTTCCATGTGAAAACACACGCCTCTGAACTCAGCGTCGTTCCCCTGATAACTGAGGAGCCGAGGCCTCCAGGAACTGAGAACAACAAAAAAAAAGTTTTGGGAAGAATGTGGCCTCAGACACACTGCGGTACTTTTAAAAGCTGCCAAGAGTCCTGCGGTTAATTTGATCTTCAACGTTGCAGCCTTCGCCGATGTTCCAGGGGATAAAAAGCAAAGGGATCAGAAGTCAGATTGGATTCACCGCTTGGTCTGGTCTGAATTAAACAATTTCAACTGGGGCTGAGTTTTTTTTAAACCCACTTCCTCCCTTCCCCCACCAGCCCCCACACATCCCCGATCAGCGGGGGAAAAAAAAAATTCCAAGCCAAGGTTCCTGCTCTTCAGCGCTCCGAGACGCTACCCAGCACCGAAACCCTCTGTGTAAATGCAAAGCTGTTGTTGTTGTCCACAGTTCATCCTTCCAGGAAAGTGCACTGTAGGAACACAGGAAAAGGAGGAGGCCATTCAGCCCCTCGAACCTGTTCCCCCATTCTATTAGATCATGGCTGATCTGTACCTCAACTCCGATCCTGTGTGGGGATTTTTGGGGGCAGGGAGGAGGGAGGAGGGCACGAGTGCTGAGGGCGGGGGCAGGGAAGACGTCTGAGCATCTCACCCACACTCGCAGTCACAGTCTTCCACATCAGGAGACAATAACACGCTCCTTGATTTCAATCCTCGTGTTTTGGTCGGCCGGGTGTCTGACATCACCGGAAACCCATCACCGTGTTTAAGAGTCTCCAAACCAAACCGAGATTTCCCTGCATCCCATCTACACGTGGAAATCCCAGAGGTAGATCGTTGGAATGGAATGTGCACTCTCTCTCTCTCTCTGGAGGTTCCCATCCGGCTTACCTGGTTCCGGAAAATATTAGACACGGGTTGGCAAGACCCAAGGCCTGGGGACCGCAGAGGAGATACTCTACCTTTTAGGGCTTTGGGTCATAAATAGCCCCTTTCACTACTCTCCTGACCTCTGAAGCTCTGTCTCACTCCCCTCCCCTTAACCTTCAGACCTACCTCTTCGACCACCACTATTGTCACCTCTCACTGGTGGGCCGGGGCTGTGGAGGGAAGAGAAATCGACGAAGGGGAAAAACAAAAACTTTGCCCACAAAATACAGTCAATTCATTTTACAGTATATCCTGTGAAGCGCTTTGAGACGTCTCGAAGGTGTGATAAGGCGTCATATCAAATGCAAGGATTATTATTATTGTTGTTGTTGTTCATAAAATAGCTCGGCAGCTGCGATCAGTGAACAAATAAATAGATAAATAATAATAATCCTTGCATTTGATATAGGGTCTTATCACATCTTCGAGACATCTCAAAGTGCTTCACAGAATGTACTGTAAAGTGAATTGACTGTATATATATATATATTAGTGGGCGAAACGATAGATAAGTACATAGGATAAGTAGATAAATAGATAAAAAAGGTTGAAAATAAATAGCTAAGTAGATAAATAAATGCAGGGAGTCTGTGACTGCACGTCTGCAGACTGGAGATGGAAGCGTTCCACTGGGCTCCTGAGCTTGCTGTAAGCGTATGTTTCTCGGACTGTTTCCTGCACTTGACAGCACAGGATTCTTCTGAGGAGCAGCCAAACTTTCCTCAGCACTCCCTCCTGTTTTGATAACTTTAAGAACGGCCAAAAAAAAGGGGAAAAAGAAAGAGAAGGGGAAGCAAACCCAGAAGCTTCCACCACCCCAAGAGGAGTCGCAGACTTTTCACGTCGTGTCGTTTCTTGGCCAACGATACCTCAAATAAAATCGGTCCCTCCCTCCCTCCCTCCACGGCTGTCTGTGGGACATTGCCGTGCGCAATTTCGCTGCCGTGTTTTGGCCACAAAGTACACACAGTCACTCCATTTTACAGTAAGATCCTGTGAAGCGTTTTGGGATGTTGTCCTCACGTGAAAGGAGCGACGGATATTTCCAAAGTTTTGGGGGCGTTAGTGGCTGTAAGAGTTTAGTGCAGCGCGCTGTTTTGAGTCGAGGGGAGGATGTCTCAAAGCGCTTCACAGGATTTACTGTTGATAAATGTAAAACAAAGTTGATGCAGTACCGACAACCAGAGAGGAAAAAAAGCTGCTGTACCCCCTTTCAAATCCCGCCTAAACACCTTCCTTTTTGATCGTGCTTACAGCCACCTCCCCGCTCCCTCTCCCCACTGGCTCAGGGTCAGTCTCCGCCACTGTCGAGCGCTCCGGGACCCTACCCTGCGTGAAGGGCGCTGTATAAATGGAGTCCTGTAGCTCAGTGGTTAGAGCACTCGCCTTGCAAGCGAGTGGACCCGGGTTTGATTACCGGCCGGGCCAAACCTTGGGCATGTTTCCTTACTCCACACACACGCCTCTGTTCTCCTAGCAGTAAGCAGGAACCCGGCTGGTAGTCGATCGGCCGATGCTTTTCCTTCCAAAAAAAAACTAATAATAAATTGGCCACTTCAATCCACGACTGTTTGTGGGACGCTGCTGTGCGCAATTGGCTGCCGTGTTTCGCCCACAAAATACAGTCAATTCACTTTACAGTCTATTCTGTGAAGCGCTTTGACACTTCTCGAAGACGTGATAAGGCGCCATGTTGAATGCAAGGCTTATTAAAAATGCTGTTGCTGTTGTCGAGTGCTCTCAGCGACTTCTGCTATAGCACAGTACTCAC